ATATTTATTTTGTTTGTACAAAATATAAAAATAATTTTTAACGATGCAATAGTCTTCGTTAGGCTTAACATCGACGAAAATTCAACGCGGAGCGACACGCAACGGAAAAAAATTTCAACACAGGATAAATTAATATATTTTTCGTACATAATTGGTTATCCGAAAATAAGTTATCCGAACAACCCCAGTCCCCAATTGATTCGGATAAACGACGCTCTACTGTATTAAATTTTAAAGCTGTTTTAACCTATAGAATTTTCATTCGACTAATTGCGTACTGTCAGTGCCAGCGATAAACTGGAAACTCTACGGTTATGTCGGCACCCTCCCTACTACTCTCTGCACAGTACCTTTTCCATCTTGAACACAATTTTCAAGAGGGAGTATAGCAGTGTTTTGAAATTCACAATTGTGTATATTACTACAACTGTTAAGAAACATTGCTTTATATAAATTTTATATGAATTTAAATGATACAAATTGATCTTTTGATTTCATGTGTTAATACGCAATTTTAGTATTATTCTCGGATGTATCAAACTATAATTAACATATGATATTTTCTGTAACAATGATTTAAATTGTGTGTTATACGTGTATGATTTGACGGCATTTATATCAAAATTTTCGTAATGAACTTATCCCTTAAAGATCCGATATTCCCGGATATCTGCAATATATTTTATGTGTAAATTGTAAAATATCATATTAAAATGCATTAAATTTTAGAATTAAAATTTATTACTGAAAAACAAGGCACATTAAATTGGCTGTAATGTTACTTTTAATAAGGTTGTATATAATTGGGCAGTCCACATTCTTGAGGATACCTCGTATAAGACGAAATCTTTTTCTTTCTGTTACTGACTTTAGTCACTGGTTAATCAACGTAATATCATGTTTTAAAAGTTATAGTGAACCTTCAGAAGAGAAAAAGTTAAGCTTATTATGTGAAGTACGGTATTAATTACATTTTGTTCGTACTGTAAATTTTTTACTGTATAATGATTTCAGGTTTTCTTATTTTAGCTATTATATGGCTTCGGTTAAAAATTGGTACCCTTAACTTTGCTAGAAACCCTTCGTGCTATCATGTAAGTATTGTCTAGTCATTATATGTATATAATATATACATATTACAGTAATACTATAGTATTAAAAATTATTATCGGTGTAGGAGAATTCGACTACGACAACGCATATGAAGACCTGTTTGCGTAGAGTCATATTCACGTGTTTAATAAGGTAAATAGTTAAACGTTTTTAGTCATATTACAATAGAATTAAACTAAAACAAAGAAGTGTGTCTAATTTTTATATTTTACACAAAAACTATTTATGTTGAATTACAGAAATGGCCGAAGCAGAAGTTTCAAGTGAGGAAAAGAGTGTCGTAGTTCGTCCAGTTAATTACATACAAGTTGCAGTTGTAAGTCGGCGAAAAAAATTTTACTTTAATGTAAATAATGGACAATTGATTTGTGTCACAACTATTATTTCGTAACGAATTAAAAACTTTATTCAATTTCGTTAAACAAATTCAAATACGTAACTTCGTAATCGTTAGGTTTTGACTATGAGAAAAGTTTTTCAAATACTGAAAATTAAATAGGGTAAATCGGATACTAAAAATAGTCTGCAGGTATTAGTATATTATGTTGGTTGAAAATCATGCTCGTTTTCTGTAAAATAGGTGAATACATTGATTGTTTCTCTATCTGACGTGCAGAATTCTATACACATGTTTACGTTTAATAAATTCTCGAACATCTTAAATTAAAATATTAGCTGAAAATTTTATGTTTCTTCCTCCTAATACTTCAGATAGTTTGATAATGACTCTAACTGTAATCGATCTAAAATAATAGAGTAAGCTTTTATAGAGGGTGTACTCATGTAGGCCAACTGTTCGCCAACAATCTCACACTTCTAAAGGTGAGATTATGATTTAGCAAAAAATTCTATCTCGTTTTTATGAATTTGTTTTCCAGAAAATACTATTATTTTGCTTGTTTATGTTAAATTTGGTATAATGAGAAAACACCAGTTCAGTCAGGTATTTTCCAATATAATTTATTTATACATTCTCAGCTTCCAGAACATTTATTCGCTATTATTTTTCTTATCGAACTTCACAATGATAACAGAAAAAACTTATATTTAACTTTTATTTATGCCTTTCGGTGGGTATTCTCACAATAGAACAGTGTAGTGATGAAAAATGATTTCAGATTCTAATCGAGTGCCTTCGTAACGTGGTTGCATAATAAGTAGTGCATTAATATTAAATACAGTTAATATTTTTAATTTAACTTTTTATAAACTATACTGTAGACAAGTTTAAAAAGTATAATGTATATTATTTAACAGGAAACGGACGGAGTGACGCAGAAAGAAAATATATTTAAAGACCTATTAAAAGGTAGATGCTTGTGAATCTTTTATTTTATAAATTAAATTTTTAAATTGTTATATTTTAATATTTTTTACGGAGATGATTGTTAAAATTATCTTAAGCGCATAGCCGAACGATCGCCTTAATTACTCGGGTTACATATTCGCTATTTTTAAGTGAATAGTGTGGCTATGTATCTATCTATGCATGCGGAAGCCACACTATTTAATAATAGTTACTGTTGTCTAATTATTTTGTTAATTTAACTAAAGTATAATATAGATTTCATATTGATTTCAGTGGAAAATGCTAATGAATACAGGATGATGCTGAAAAAGTGTACACATATTCATATTGGACCGAAAATAGAAATTCATTCCGATGAAACAAAGACAAGATCCTTAAAGAAAGAAGAGGACGAAAGGAATGGTAAGTGCGTGTCTTTACGTAAACATACAAGAGAAACATTATTATAATTCTATTTTCTGTTATTTTGTGGCGAGAGTAAATATTTGTAAGTAATTTATCATATTAAACATTACGTGAATTGCTTAATTATATAAAGTGAATTTACAGTAATGAAAAAGCTGTAATTTGTACAGTTTTAGTTTATGGTTCATTGTAAAATTTTCTATTAATATGATTATATATAAATTAATTTATAATTACAAAAAGTAGTTAAATTTATTCATTAAGTATCTTTGAATAAGTTTATACTCAGTATTTTGTCATTTAATAAAATATCCATTTTCATCTCACTTTGTTTATATAAAAAATATTCACAGTAACGTAAAAGATTCAAACAGTAGATTCATTTTTCATTAGTTTAGAATTCTAAATTAAATTTTTCTTTACTTGTTCTTTACTATTTCAAGGTAATTTGATGAGTAGAATATGATATAGGCATTGACAATTTCCAGTTAAATGGCATTATTTCATCTATTAGTAAAACACTGATGGAAAGCGCGGGTTAACAGCTACAAATAAGGCTCATTATTGATGAACCAATTTGGTTTATCAATTTTCTTGCATACGTTTTGTTATTGTATGCTCATAGACAAATTCTGTAATATGCAGTAATGTAATAGTAATCATCATCAGCTAGAAAATGCCAGAAGAAAGGCTGAACCTGATTAGGGCTGCAAAGATCAATAGATGTATTGTATGCGACTTTTTTGATAAAGTAAAGGATGTATTGGCTCGATTAAATACTTTCGACAAGAGACATCTATAAAAGTTAAAGGCTGTACACTCGCTTTGCGTAAACAACAAAATGTGTATGCCAAAAAATGAGAAAAAAGAGTGCATCTTGTAGAATTTGATCACGTTGAAAACTTGTCTATTGTTTCGTGTTGAAATGCGCTAAATCAACTCATGTTGCCTATGATTATTTTAAAAGGGAACAGATTAAATCCTGAACGGAATGTAAACCTTTTACCTGGCAAAGAGGTCTAGATAACTGAGGAAGGATCAATGAACAGAGCAACCGTTCATCAAATGGTTCTATCATTTTGAAACTTTTTCTTAAATACATTTATTGTATTAAATTAAATAGCTCTTACTTTTTACCTTAATTAATAAATTATTTGTTTAGGGCTCTTTCGTATGGGTATCATTTGAAACTCCTGTTTGAAATACAGTCTATTACATAAATTTTGGAAAATATATTATTACAGAAAACTTTTCGAATGTTGCTAATTTTAATTTCATATTTCTGCAAGTGAACGTCTTAGTATGTTGCAGTACAACTTTCAGAATTTTTATATTAATAGTGAAAATACAAAATGTCTTTAATCGTTAGATGTATCTTATTTGAAAAATGTACTGTACAATAATTTATTATAAGTTCGAAAAAAATACAATCGTATAATATATTAGTTTTCGTTTGGCAAAGAAAAATGGCTTTATGAAGTGTATTCGAAGCATACATGAACTTACAAAACTTTGATGATTTAATGGACAGCAAGTTAACCAGCTGATAGAGGCTAGGGCAGTATAACTGCGCTTGTAAAATGCTTCTACCAGGAATACAGTATACCGAAATTCTTTCGGTCTTATGGAATTGGCAATAGCATAGCCGTACAAATTGCAGGAGTAGAATCAAAATGACTATTGCAAACAGGTGAATTTTGGCATATTCTAAATATATAAACACTTACAGGAAAAGTATTATAAAATCCTTTTCATCAGTCGACATGGCGAACTATAATACGCTCCCATCTTAGTACAGTATACATACTTATAATGAATGATTCAAGTGTGAGCAATGAACGTCTATAACTGAACTGAAAATGATATCAGATCTGAGTATAAAATGAGAAATTGTGTTTCTGAACTAAAACACTGGCGTATGTATTAGCATTAGGCAGGCCATGAGTGACACGATATAAAAGACAATTTCGGCCAGTTTCTGGTGCAGAATAATGGAATCTAAGTCACACACCTAAAAAAACAAACTTGGTCTTTCTTTCTATGGGTTATGTGAATGAAAACAGCACAAAATCGCTTTACACGTTGCCGGGCATTTCTAGAACGGACAGATTGGAGTAGATGGTCCATAGAAGTAGGAACTACCAGAAAATAAAGTTCTTTCTCTGATTGTCTGTTTTTTAAGTGTGAAAATAGGCGGCCGAGATGAACAACATGGTCTGCTTGCCGCAAGGAAGCTGCCATATTTTATTCTGCGATACCTAACTGCCTGATGGCGAAATTGAAAATTTTGCTGTTGTTACAAAGCGTGTTCTACAACACGACATATAAATCGTCTTCCTAGTATACTCCAATATTGTACAATAATGCGATTAAAATTATGAAACCCGGCGGATGACCTTCTCTACCTGTAGGATGGTGTCCATTCAATCATTAATTAAGTCGATGCACTAGCAAAAGCTGTTCGCAGTTTCTAATAGAATTGAGTTCGTTGTTAAAATTCAATTGGTCGAATTTAAGAAACATTTTGTAATTTCGCGTATTTTGACACGAGAAAATTCGAAATAGAAAAAAAAAATTTGTCCACGATTTCGTTTTAAACATTGAAGAAAGCTATCAGGAAAGACTACAATATATTTGTACTGTACGTTCTTTTTTATACCAGTAGCAAATTAACGTTGTATTTGGTTCCTCAAACTAATGTTGTTAGCAAACTAATATAAAGGGAGATTCAAGCAAATTTGCATATGTTTATTACTTTAGAAAGTACTGAATGATCACTATTCATTTCGGATGCTTAGCGACATATGATATGATATACTGCTGATATTGATTGGAATTTTTAGGATAAAAACAGATTAAATTCTCTTATAATTCTTGATTTTTGCAAATAAAATAAATAGAATATACACGATATTTAATTAATTATTTCCCCCTTTTTTTCCTCTTATAGAAATGTTCAACAGTTGCTGCCAAATATTGAAAACTAAATATATGACCTACTTCTCCTACATGAGGTCTTTTTTATGGGAAGGCGAGAGGAACGACTTTCCATTAAAGGATTATTTCGTAGAATTGACTGTACAGAAGGCAGATTTATTTGGAAAAAACAGCGGAGATAAAATAAGCTTGAATGAGGTATTTTCCATACAACAAGATGGACACCAAACTATTTTAGTAACAGGGGATCCCGGTTATGGCAAATCTACTCTTTGCAAGAAAGTTCTGTACGATTGGGCAACCACGAATTATCTTAAACACTTCGATTTAACTTTTATTGTAATTTTAAGAGAATTAGGCAATAAATGTGTGAAGGATGTAATACTGGACAACATGCATGAACACGCAACAACTGACAGTGATTTGCATCTACAATATAAACGACTGAATATTTTAGTGATTTTGGATGGGTTCGATGAGATTGTAGAAAAATACAAAATTATAAAATTTATAAGAGAGGAATCTTTTTATATTTCCCGTCGAATGACGATTGTGGTTACCAGTCGACCTCAAGCAGCAGAAGACATCAGAGAAGACATGAAGATGAGATTTTCCATAGAAGGGTTTTCTCCAGAATATCAAGAGAAATATATTAAATTAATGTTTAGAGAAGACAAGAGAAAAGCAACAGAACTGTCTTCAGTTCTAAAAGAAATCGACTTTTACAGAAAAATGGCGGAATGCCCGCTGATGTTACACATGTTGTGTTGTCTTTATCACAATGGAAAGATGACAGAAGTTGAAACAATAACTGATTTATACATCCGAATATTTATTCTTGTAACCGAACGTTATGTTAGAAAAACAAATCAGCAGAACAAGTTTAAAAGAGGAAAATATTTTGTGGGAGAAAATTTGCTAATGAAATTGGGAGAAGTTCACTTTATCACCTCAGAACGATTGAGGAATTGTTTTCCAAATGAAGAAGAATACAACTTTATTATTGGACTGGACATTCTGACTCTCGATTCCTTTTCTGAATGCGATAATATAATTCGATATAAGTTTGTACATCGCACATTTGGCGAATTTCTATCAGCATTATCAATGTACGTCAGTTTTCAATCTACCAATCTATGTATGTTCTCACCTGCTAATAGTATTATTGGTATGAAATTCTTGTTTTTGTTGGGATTTTATCAAGAAGAACCTTTATCCGAACGGTTATTAACGTACGTAGAAAAGGAAATGTTCAAGCCTTAATTCATGCTTCAAGTTCACAAACAAATCAAACTGACAAAGAATTGGGAACGATTTTGTTCTCGTGCAAAAGTGATATTTTATTCTTGGAAAGACTTTAGTGATTTTTAAGAGCTAGTGGAGTTGTATGAATTCAACGAGTTATATTTCTATTTTCAGGAGAGAAAGAATGAAGACGATGAAACGGAGAATGAAGCAATTTACTTTTTCAACTACTGGATTTTTCCGAATAATATGAAGATTTATCTTATACTCTCACTTGACAAATGGCCTTCTGAAAATAAATACGACATTACAGAACCTGTTTCACGTATTATCGAATTGTTTAATGTAACAGACACAAGAGATTTGGACATCTTTCTTATTGGTGTAAGTAAGCCCTTGGATGATTCGTTCGATAGATTCACAAATGTAAATTTCAATTTCAAATTATCTGACCACGCGCGGAAATCAGTAGAGGTAATTGAAGACGTGCAATTGGTTGCATTGGAAACTGAAGAATTCGTAGGAGTTTCTAACAGATATATTCTTTCTTTGAAACAATACGAAACTTTACGTCGTCATATCATATTTAAATCTGCGTGTAAACAGAATTGAAAATGTTTGATAATGTAGACGAATAGAAAATATATATTATCGTTTTGAAATAAGAAAATAGCATTAAGTCTGTTTACAAAATCACATGTATTTTTCACTGGCAAAGTTCAATGTAATGAAATGGGTAGGCTGAAACTTTATACAATGACAATCGTTGGATGCAACATTTATGTGAGAACGTAGCTTACATTAATGATTAAAAGATATTAGTGTTCGGTTGAAATATTCTTGTTAGAATATATCTTAGATAAAAGTAAAATAATTTCATTGAAGTTAATCATATAATTGTTAAGTTTAAAATTGTTTTTGTTATATTAACGCACATTTTGAACTGTTGGATGATTCCATTCACGTGAAATTTTGCGCCAGGTTTTATTATGGTAAAATACATTGTGAATTCAATAGTTGTTCCTTTTGTGAATAGAAACAAAAATTAAATTTGTATAGTTTTTTAAACAGTATGGCAAACAAGAACGTTTTCTGTTTTAAGTACTCGAGATATATTGTTTACTACAATAAATTAGAAATAAAATCACGACGTACCTTCAAATACGAAATTGCTCGCCACTTTGTGTCGTTTTATTTCTTATTGTCATTCAGTAAAACAAAAAAATAAAGTATTTTGAAAATGTGGACAATTTTTTTTGGATCTTTAAAAAAACTTTTATGCGATGAAATTCGCAACTAATCTAAGTACACGTATTCCAAATAAAAAACAAAACGTATTTAGGTATAAATTTTAATAACTTTCAGTACTTAATCAAACAGATAACAATAACTATACTAATTTAATAAGTACCTAACAATTGTTAAGACTACAATGTGAAAAAAGAAAAGCAAACACACACACGGCAATTCTCTTTTATTACTATTAGTTTATTTCCCCTTCTATGTTGAGGTAATTACTCAAGCTGGTGGTAAACGAAAGGAACGGTGGTTTAAACGTAAATTTATAATATATTTTTGCATTTCAATAAGTAAAGATAATAAAGTGAGTAATTGATACGCGTTCCAAAACTGTGTTTCCTGCACGGAGAACTACTTTGAAATTTTTCATGTGAAACAGATTAACAACTGGTAACCACTCCGAGACCCACATATTTCTGTACGAGGCTTTCCGCATTTCTGGAAAGAAAATGTACTTTAACTTGAAAAGTTATATTAATAAGAAATATTAAAAATAATTATAATAATTCATGACACTTCTCTGAACATGAAACCAAAGAAAAAAAAATTACAATTCAGCTTATTTACACTTATCTATTATGTTATCGGAATATTTTGTCAACAGATGGCACCACGTAACAGTACACTATCGATTTCCTGTGTGTTGCGCAACACTCACCCTTTCAAGGTTGGATGCGTGCTTTCTATGCTAGGGTGTTTCAATTGTTTGCTGTTGTTACAAACGAGACGATCAACTGGTCATCACTAAAATTGATTACACGGTGTTCATTAATTAACACAGGTAACATATTCTATTCGATATAAAGTCGGAGTGATGTTATTGACGTAGCAACTACGATTGTTTGTAAAACAACGAAGTCGGTATCTTCGTACGTCTGACGTCACTGGGAAATTACGAGTGACGTTGGATTTCGCACGTGTTAGCGAGTGAATTGATGACCTGTTAATTAAACAAAGGTTTCTAATCGATCCAAATGGGACGTAAATCTTACAAGAAAGGATTTTAAGTGGATTTTTAACAGAACCAATAAAAGTAAGCTATTTAAAATTTTCATAAAAATCCGATTATTACAATAGAAATTACTAATTATTTAATAATTAATCATATAGTAGATGCTTATGGATATGTGATAATTATTGTTATTATTTTTATCGGGGCAGAGTGCAAATTATCTGTTAAATTCGGCAAAAAATGGTGAAAATTCGAGCAAATCAAGAACAGTATTCAGGGAGACAGAAAAAAACACACAAACAAAAAATTGGCCCTCGTGTTTTTATTTATGTAAAGTTTCGGATCATTTAATTTCTTCGTTTCTCTTCATCTAAAGATCTTTAATAATTGCTAATATATATAATTTTATCTACATATTTTATAATTAGTACACGGATAACCAAACTTGTTCATATATGGACCCTTTTAATATAAATATTTTTTCCATTAACCTCTTTAATATTATATACTATATGTTAAGCAGTATTATTAATAGATATTTCCCTACCTTTATCTAAGAGGAGAAACACTAAAAAAAATTTAATACTTTAAATAACTGTAATTCTTTTTTATATTTCCAAAGTTTTATCGATCTCTAACTGGCCAATAATCAACCCTGTTAAAAACCCTGAATTGTTGCAATATGTATTGTATTTATTCTAACGATATGAAGTGTTAGATGTATTATCAGTTATTGTCAACGTAACAAGGAAAAAGGTGTGCTCACTTGAAAGCATAATCAGCACGTTGCTGGATAAAGCAGTTTTAATACAGATACAAATGCAAGATAATATTTATCTCATCATTGGCTCGCTTACTTACTTCCCGTGTAAAATTGCCCAATATTTTGTCAGCAATTCTCGCCCGAATAATTTTTTTCTATTTTACTGTATACATTAGTAAAAATTTAACTAACTTTCCTCAAACCTTACACAAATAAAATGAAAGTTATATTTATTTATTTTATTAATTTTTCATATGGATATATTACTTTTTCTCTGAAACCATGCTTATTTATTTATTTAAGTTATTAATTAAAATAATTTAATATTTTACTTATATAATTAGGCATGTGATAAGATGCTGGAACATGTAGATATCTGTCAGGACGTTCTAAATGGTAAATAAGTTTTTGTGTTTGATATTTTATATTTTAATTAATATCTTAGTACTAAATTACACTTTTTTCCTTCTTATTTAAAAACTGTTCTAATGACTCATTGTTAATTTTTCTAGAATATTTCCATTATTTTAATTATTTCTATGGTCATAGTATCATTTAGCCCTGCACATCGTTTGTTCGTCCAGGCCCACAATGAGGGGGACCGGATAAAGATAATCGGGGCCCGACATATCCGGACAGACCACCTCAAAAATTTTTCGGCGGTTGTTTCTCGGGGGAGAGGTTTTTTGTCCTTTAGTAGTCCTCCGGTATGAATAGCACTTGTCGAAAACTGGCCTGGAAACAATTATTGTAAAATCTTTAAGCGTTATATACACTAAAGGGCTGTGGAATTCATCTGTGCTGATGATCGGAACCCAAAGACTATTTAACTTCCTTTTCAGATTCGGTTTATACATTTACGTCAAAGCGACATTTGGGCATTCTGCCGAGAGGGATTCCTCTCGGGAGGACTTTCTACGGGAAACTTCACCCTATTTAAGTGCTTCGAACGTGAAGTAAGGCATAAAATATTACGTGCCTGTTGGAGAGGCGCTATCCAAAATATGGATATAGCAAAATCGAGGCAAAAGACGAAAGGCAAGTATCCGGTCGTCTCTGAGAGAGACGAAAGACTAGGGTTTCGCATTTTCCGGTCTTTCGCTTATCCCGGGATTCCGGGGAAAAAGTGAACAGTTTACCGGGATCCTAAGAAATCCCGGGATATAATTAATTATTTTTAATATATAAAATAAATCTTAAAATCGAATGATATAATTGTTTTTCATTTTTAAGTAACTTAATACGTCCTACAACCTCCAGAATAATTGATAATGGTGTGTAAAATTACCTTTGAATTATGTAGAAATTTTCACAAGTAGAAAAGATTTGTTGGAAAATATTGACCAAAAAAAACTCTTTGAATTGAGTCAAAAATTTAAATAGAAAAATGAACTTAGATCAAACCTTACTCAACACAAAATAAAGAAAAGAGTAAATTTTAAAGAAATTTGCAGTATTTCTCGGAATGAGAAGAATTTTCCGGGTTAAAAAACAATTTGGATCCCGGGCTCCCTGGAGAAACCCTACGAGAGACGTTGACCAGAATACAGCTTCAGGTTCGTCTGAGGGCTTGTGAGTTATTACCCCCGTTACAGGGCAGCTTTCACAAGTGTTATCGGTTCAGTCAGGAACTTACTTCCATGATGGTGTAAAAGCACAGCTCTGCGGTAAAATTCTGTGTTACGTAATAAAAATTCAACAAGAAGATTAGGTTCAATTTTGATACTACCACGTATATAATACTTGGTAATAATTTTTGAATAATTAATTGCATATTATTTTCAGCAGAGAAGTGTAACCAATATCCAGTAATACTCAAGAAATGTACAGACGTTCACATTGGTACGAAAATAGAAATCCATTCTCAACAACCACAAACAAGTTACTTAAAGAAAGAAGATGAAGAAGAAAATGGTGAGTGTCTACACTTATAACGATTATTGGAAAACGTTATACTTTAAATTGATTTCTTTTTACACATAATTTTATTGTTATACGTCGTAATATGGCATAGAATATTCTATAAAAAAAATTAAAATATATGGCAGAAATGAGCAAAAACAATAGAAATGCTTATTAAAACACTGAAAAACATCAGGTTTGACGTACTGAAAAGCATCTCTATTGCCCTCTTTTATTTGTTTTTATATTATTTTTTCAATTTAAATTTGTTTCAATAAGAAATCCAAACACAGTCAAGAATCAGAAAGTTTGAGTAAATCAAAAGGTTGATGTGTCATTAAATATTTTCATATTTATATTTCAATTTAGTTGATCTCTCCTACGTGCATTCATTTTGGCTAGATTTATATGAATATATGTTATATAAAGCATATTGCATAGTTTACGATTAAGATAACAGAACTGAGAATTTAATATAGCCTAATTTTTCGTCAGTAGAATATGTTACTAATTAGACACGTCCAAACCTTTAATATAACTAAAGGAACTTGACATTTGTAGAATAGCATTGCATTGCCAATGATATTCTCTTACAATCCACTAAAAGTATCGTTACGATATACGAGACAATGGTGCATTATAGTCCAGTCGAATTTTAATTTGGGAGACCGTGTACAATGTTGACTGAAAACATTTTCTTCCGGGAATTTTTGGGGAAATGTTTTCTAATAAAAGATCGGTTAGGGGCCGACGGTTGATGAAGTCTCATGCAATTGCTACTTTTCCTATAGATAACACTCCACCAGTGGCGTGCCGTGACATTTGATGATAGGGAAGCTGTGTTTCTATAAGAAGCCGACTTCCAGGGGCAATCAGTCAGCAATGTTCTAGGGTCCATTCGTATTCGTTTGTTCGATAAGCCAGTAAAAACCGTAGACTTCTCTAAATGTATTTTTAATTAATAGATTATCTAACGCAATTAATAAATAAGCGAGTTCAATATAATTAACTCTCTTATATTAGATTTAATAGATTCTATACGCCCTCTAAATGCCAATTCTCGCTTCGATAACATCTACTAATTAAAATATATCTATTAGCCGTAACTATCTTGTTATAATTTTCAATATATATTTTATATTGTGTACTAATGTTAAATTCTATTCTATTTTGATTTCCAAATTGCTTCAATTTTACGAAAGAATCGATGCGAGATTTAGGATTTTCGTGTCTTTTGCCAGCTTTACTCAAATTATTTAAATCGTCAAAGCCAATCTCATTCTACACACTAATTTTATTTGAAAATAGTAGGCAAGGCCAACAAAACAAATTTTGCATTTTTATGCATCCACAAAGCCATTTTATATCTTCATAAATTTTATCATGAAAATGTCGAACAAATTTTTTCTTTTTCATTATATGGTCTCGAGCCAAAACTTTTTGAAATAAATTTTCGATATCACAATTACATTCTAAATTGCTAGCTATAATATAAGGGCTAAAATTAAAAATAAAATTATAAAAACTTACTTGTTAAAATAAAATGTGTGATGATATACAATTATACATACCTGGTACAAAATATTCAATTGTATGAATATACTTTTAAAGAAAATTATAAATATAGTTTTGTGAAGAAACGTACATAAAAATAACATAAAATAGTCTTTACTTTTTAAATATTAAAACAATCCACCTAGTTAAAATTGCTCCCTACCAGTGGCTCGTGGATGGAATCAGAGACGGTCTTGGTAGGTGTGCGGTGCGGTGCATGCTTGCCAAATCCCGAGGGTGCCGATACCGGTTAATGTCTCTTTTGTCTCATCACTAGTATATCTCAAAGGACGCGACAGGGTTGTTGTAAATTTTAAACGTTTCTCATCATAGCTGTAAAAATCTAAATTTGTTAAACTTAAAAGTCATTTGTTTTCTAACTACTGTAATTCGTTTTAAGACCAGGTGTCCACGGAAATTTCCAAAATTTACAACTTTTACTCACTTTCATTGAACTGGAAAAATTTCTGTCTTTATTACATCTAATATTACGAAGAAATCAGTCCCACTGTACTCGGCTAGATATTGGTCCGGTTAGGCTTTTGTTTAAGTAAAATTCCGGCTCTTTCATCAGGGTTTTGTTTACGTCCCCAATTCCCTAATCGCTTAATTATTTAACTACTTCTTAAGTAGAAATAAGTCGAAACCAGTTACTTTGTACTCGAATATTTGTAGTCTCGGGAAAAAAGTGGAAAGACAAATTTTTACGACAACGGATACATAAATCGTAAATTTAAGGAAAATAAATTCTAGAGCCTTTTCTGTACCTCGTGCATCTCTCTCATTCATTAAATTTAGTTGTAAATGATGCTGTCGAAGTAACGGTTAATTTTTTAACATTATACAAGAATTGTACACGTTTTTTTCTACATCCCCTTAAAGATGGGATGTACGAAATCGTAATATCACTGGTTTAACATCGAAATCCGTGAGTAATATAAAATCGGAGAGCGGAATAAATATATCAAATATTTTAATGGATTTTTTAAACTCCTGTCAACTATACAGAACTATCGTAAAAACATACCAGTAAATTCTTATCGGTTGGGTTAAGTTATAAATCTACTCGTTATTCACGTAATCGAAATATCTAGTGGGCAGGCGGCTAACAGCCCAGAACCGGTCCTTGATAGAATTGGAATCTTTATATGTGTGCAGCTTTCACCCAAGGTCGTAGGCTTCCACCGGCTAAACCGGGTGAGGTTGGTGCTCTGTAAAGCGCATGCGCAAATCTGGCTTTTCGTAATCTGAAAATACAGGAGATTCCACTCCGCCACTAATATTCTAATATACAATAGCATTTTTTTTTTCCACGTGTAGTATAGAAATTTGTAATAAGATACATAATGCGGTTATAATAAAATATTGTGCGATTATTTTCGTATAATTAAAATTAATATTTATTTATTTTTTAGAGAATACGAGGGAAGCGGCGCTTCCCTCGTATTCTCTAAAAAATAAATAAATATTAATTTGGGAAAGCGGCGCTTCCAACGCTTCTAATGACGGCACGCCACTGCACTCCACTGCAAAATGTTAACTATTTAATTATTTAATTTATGCACATTAATACTAGTATTCCAGTTTCCAAATTTTAAAAATCTATTCAAGAGAAACCAGTTTTAAATCCAGTTTGTAAAACCAAAAAATTAATCGCTCGTCCATTCATCAGATTCCCTTGACATTGCTAATACTCCTGAGGAATGCACACCTTTTTCGTTCTATTAGCCTATTTTTATCACTCTGTGCACACCTGTAATTAATTAAAGCAGAATTTATTCTAATTATAGTCTTATTTGCTTACTCTGTGAGAGAATATATGAAAATGAATATTATATTTAAATATTATTATTGGAAACATTTTAAAATTCAATTTTATTTTTATATTATGTGAAGGCTGAAGTTTAAAATTAGTTTTTAAACACTAAATTTCCAAAATCTTATACTGTCCGTTGTTCAAAGTATTTTGATTGTCTTAACTGAATAAAATTATTTAACATAGGGAATGACCAGTAGTGTTTTTCATACTTTATTCATGTGTGTATATTAACTATGGACCAGATTTCTATAGAAGGTGGACGCGGGAGGAAGCCTGATTGGTAGGTTGCTTATGTGTTGCACGGTCGCCTTCCATTAATCCAATGCTACCCATTCCTCTTCTTTTTTCAACAGGTTTTAATTGTCAAAATTTCAATAACATTCATATATAATTATCATAACAGTGGTCGGCATTGCCTTAAAATTCTTAGAATTTTTATCTTGAAACTTTTCACGAATTTTTACTTATTCTTTTTTTCTTTATAGAAAAGTACGTCAATTGCAGCCAGAAATTGAAGAACAAGTACAAGACATACTTTGCTTACATGAGATCTTTCCTGTGGGAAGGTAAAAGGAACGACTTTATATTAAAGGATTACTTCGTAGACTTGACAATACAAAAGGCAGATTTATTCGGAAAGGAAAGAGGAGATAAAGTAAATCTGAAAGAAATATTTTCTAATCAGGACGACGACCATCAAACTATTTTGGTGACAGGACATCCCGGTTATGGAAAGACCACTCTGTGCAGGAAAATTGCATACGATTGGGCATCCGCGGATTACTTGCAACATTTTGACTTAACGGCATGTATTATTTTAAGAGAGTTAGGCGATAGAAGTGTAAAACAGGCATTATTCGATAACTTGCACGAGAATTCGTCATTTGATAAAGATTGGAAATTACATTTTAGGCAAATGAACATTTTGGTGATTTTGGATGGCTTCGATGAGATTGTAGAGAAAGATAGAATTATAAAATTTATAAGGGAGGAATCTTTCGATATTTCTGGTCAAATGACGATTGTGGTAACCAGTCGACCTCAAGCAACGGAGGATATCAGAGAAGACATGAAGATGAGGTTTTCGATAAAAGGGTTTTCTCCAGAATATCAGAAGATATGTATTCAGTTAATGTTCAGAGAAGACGAGAGTAAAGGGAGAAGTCTTGTTGAGAAAGTGGAGGAAGACGAGTTCTACAAAGAAATAGCCGAATGTCCTCTGATGCTGCACATGTTGTGCTGCCTTTTTAATAATGCAGAATTGGGAGAGATTAAAAGCACAACGGAATTATACATCCGAATGTTTACACTTATAACCGAACGTTATGTTAGAAAAACAGATCTGAATTGCAAGTTCGAACGAGGAAAACATTTTATAGGAGAAAATTTGCTTCTTCGATTGGGAACATTACCTCTAAAAGTTAATTCGATCACATCAGAGGCTTTAGTAAAGTTCTTTCCAAACGAAGATGAATATAATTTCATCATTGGATTGGACATTCTTGCTGTGGAATCTTTTTCACAATACGATAAAATCATTCGTTATCATTTTTTGCATATCACATTTCGTGAATTTCTTGTAGCTTACGCTATATACAACGATTTTTCTAATTTTTCAACTTGGATCACAGATCAAATATTGTTATTTTTATTGGGATTGTTTGGTAGTGATAAATTTCCCAAAAGTTTTCTGTGTAATTTAAAAGAAAAAGTATTCACTCCGAATTTCATGCTTCGAGCTCACAAAGAAATCAAACTAAGGGAAAACTGGGAGGAATTTTGTTCAAATTCCAAAGTAAAATTTTATGATATAGAATTAAATGAGATGAAACAATTATTGAATTTGTATCCATTTAAACAGTTGTTCTTTTGTTTCTCCGAATCTGAGTTTGACTACGAAAACCACAAGAATGAAATTTTTCAGTTCTTTAACGATTTCAGTTTCCCAAATGGTCTAAAAATTTACCTTTTTCTTATTAATATGACAACAGATCGGGATTATTCACACGATATTCGAGAGTCTGTTTCGTGTATCATCGACTTCTTTCGTAACATCAGACCAATCGATTATGAAATTTACTTTATTGGTATATATAATTTTATCGATATATTTCATTGCTTCAGAAATGTTAATTATTCTTTGAATTTAACTGAGGGTGTTCTGAAAGAATTACGTATTGATGAAGGCGAAGAACTGATTGCATTGCAAACTCAAAGTTCAGAAGGGACGTTTAACAGTTATTTCTTGTCATTGGAACAGTATGAAACTTTACGTGATCTCATGAAAATTTATCCAATCAGAGAAAAGAATTCAAAATGCGTGGTCATTTAGACTAATGTAATAAATTACTTTATACCTGTCTATTTTTAGAAGAAACATCGACTTGTCGAGGAGGATAAAGGTGTCAGGATTAAGGTGACTTAGCGACGGGGATTGAAAAGCAAATCGTATTATCTCACGGCCGGCCTTATAGGGTTTCAGGTATTTCGGGCCTTTTGTAACACTTCAATCTTACCTTCCACTACAGCTGACAGTCTTCACTCGTTATATAGGTGCTAGAAGACAGTGCCTAGGCCTTTATCTTAAATGTGTGATGAAGAATTCCGTACAGAAATAATTTTTTAATAATTTAATTGCTGGAGTAGAATTCTTCAGGAAAGTACATTGTCTAGGTGTGATTTTTTAATGTTATATTTTTGAAGTGAATAAAATTTTTATTGTTTTTTAATAAAATATATAATTGTTTTAATATAAGAGACACTGTTTCATTGCCATAAGTAAGCTCATTAATTATCTTACTGGTAGATGTCACAAAGAGAAGCAGTTAAATATAATTTATTTGGGGTGTTGATAGGGAAATTAAAAGAAAATAGGGGATGAAACAAAAAGCATACGTGTATGGAAAAAGTAAGGTATTGGTATGCAATATAACGCTAATGTAATGTATAGAAACATAGCATATATATATATATATATATGCAGAAAGCGTTTTAGTTAATTAATTTACAGAAGGGATCAACTTCATTTACACACGTGAATCCCATTTCTTATGGCATATTCTATATCGAACATTGACATTTGTCAATGCATTTTTTTGAAAGATGCACTTATTACACTTTTAGTGGTTGAGTTTTATTTGGCATCCACAAGGTACCAGCGTGAATCTGTGAATATCGAAAATAGAAATATGCTTTAAAAACTCAGTAAAAAACTATTATTTTGTGTTGAAAGCAACGTCAACGGTTTCTCTGTACTACAAGATTGATGGCTTTAACTCGCTGTGGCACTAGTTTTTGTATTACTTCATTATTTAAATAAAAATGATTCCATTTATTACTTGCTTGGTAATATATATTTATTAGACCCCACTGTTTGCATCTTATTATAAAAGCAAACAGGAGCGTAGTTTATTAAATTCAATTTGCTTTAGTAGATGGCTAATATTGGTCTGCATTCTACATTTTAAAATATTAATTTCGTATATTTACGTAAGAGATTAAAGCAAGTTATTCTAGTAGTCAATTGTAAAAGAATAAAAGAATTGTTTGCAAAAGTTCAAGGAAATTTTAGCATAAATAATGATCATATAAACATTAATAAAGTCTGGGGAAAGGTTCTTCAAGCTTGAAAATTGCGCAAAAATTTGCCGACTGGACTGCTTCAAATAGCAATTGATTGCTTGCTGTTCTATCAATTAGTTGTATGTTCTTTGGAACTTTCTATAAAGTTGCTATTGATAATAAATTATACAGGACCACTCCGTTAAAGAAAAAAGTACATTTTTTTCTATAATTTACAACGGATATGCATTTCGGGCTCCGATATACTCCTCTTCACACCTTATTTTATTATGTAAATCGTTAAAATTAATAATATTTAAAGTGAAAACTGGAATAACTAATCATTAAATCAGTGGGGTAGAACAAGTAAAACTGTAAAAATAAAAATATTTTGTTTACAACGTATAAAGTGTTTGACTTTTGTTAGTCAAAGTTTTTATACGTTGTAACAAATAAAGAAAGTTAAAACATTAAATCATTAAAATCCGATAAAAACAGGTGTGCAATTTTTAAATTCCATACCTATACAACGTCAGAGTAGTTCTTTGCACTTGGCAGTTGTACACAGACGAACCTTGCATTTGCTGCCACGATAAAAGCTATCATCGCATCAGTCTTTTACGGAGAGGCAATTCTTGCACTTCAGGATACGAAGAAACTCTCCAAAAATGAAGTAATCAGACTAGATGACTTTGTTCTTGTGTTTTGTTTGTTTTAGGCACCCATTTTTCCATTCGGCTTGCGTGCTATTTTTTTATTAATTTCATTAGGCACATTTATTTACGGCCAGTAATCATGGGCAATGTCACTTTTACTTTGCCGTATATCGAAATCGAAGTCATAGACATCTATTTTTTATCACTTTTTTGAATTACTCATTGTAATTAATGTGAAATGTCAGTTTCGTCTAAACGAAATGAAGATTTATATATAAAAGTGTCGCGGAACTCAAACAGTTTGAAATTCGAACAAATTCTCGGAAGAAATTTTTCCGCAAAAGCGAACTTTTCTTGGAATTCGAATACAAATAAATATAGCAATACTGTATGGTGCATGATGAATAATACGAATATGTGATGCCGTACTGTTGTTACATTATCCTTTAAGGTAAAATTGCATTGCTTTGGTTTATTTATTTACGGAAATGCGTCACATTGGCGGTTTTCCGAAAGAGATCTTTTATAAAAGCCTGGCCCCTATTTAGGTATTACAACGTGAAGAAAATCTGAGAAACTCCGCGAGGGCATTCCTTCGGCGAGGCGCAAACCCACGACTAAGTACCATTGTTTAATTTTTATCCATTGGTAAACTCAAAAAATTGCTTTGAAACTCAAATCCCTATAAGAACGAATTGAATTGGAATTACGCGTTATCATTTTATACTTATTATCTTCAAGACAATGTCAAAAATATACTCTATAAGATAAACGGGTAATCTTGTAAATAAAAATTAAAACAATAAAAAATTTTTTAAAATAAAAAACTATATATATTTACACTTCTATCTATCTGCTTTAGTTGACTTTTTTAAATGAAAATATGTGTTTCATATTAGTAGTAACTTAGTAATGATAAGTAATTAATTTAAAATAAAAAATATTTTTTTTAACTGTCACATCGATCGGATAAAATACAAAAGCTGTATAAAGTTATTGCTAAAAAAACACTATAAAATAAAAAGTAATTTCATTTATTTAGTCATTTTTACCTTAAAATTATTCAGACAAATAAGAAGAGAAAATATTTATTGAAATTTCATACAAAGGTTATATTAAGAATGAAAAATTTAAAATAAAAATTATTCATGACATCAATTAATTGAAACGACTTTCTATTAAAAAAAAAGTGTATAATAAAACAAAATAATAGACCTAAATATGTCGATGCAACTTTTCACTCCTCAGACGAACAATTGAAATGTAATTTGAATCTATGAAGTGTATAACTCATGGATTTGTAGGATTGGTAGAGTACATAAAGACGTTGCTCTTTGAAATTGTAGAACTGAGTAGCAGCTTCATTATATATTTCTTTATCAACATTTAGAGCAATGTATGGAATTTCCTTTTCGGTTTTATCCGATATAAAAGAAATCTGTACATTTTTCAAATCTTCGAAGCAATAAATTTTGCCATACGCAACGAAACCATATCGTATCAGGCAAATTGCATTATCAACAATTTGCTTGGACAAAATTTCTAAATTCTCCGGATCGATTTGAAGAGCCTCGTGAATCACGTGCAAACGAGGATCTATTACGTTAAATACCCAAATACTGTCCTCGTCTATGCAAAAAGAAAAGAAATCAACACGTGGAATATGAAAAATTTTATCTCCTATTTTGGATTCCCAAGTCTGGAAGTTGTATTTGAAAATTTTGTGTTCGAAATCGTATCGACCGTAATAACTTCCATTGTATACGATTCCCCAATCTGTCATTGTTTCAGGAAAACGAAATTCCTTAAGAATTTCATAAGTTCCGTTTTCATTTAATCTATATTCTTGTATAACAGGTTTTTCTCTTTCCTTCAGCCAAATGTCAAAATTTCCTTCAGAATTCTCTTCAAACTGTGCGAAAGCGAGTCTTCGGCTCACATTAAATAATGGAAATGGAAAAATCTGGTAATCTGTAACGTTGTCCAGAATGCAATCTGAAAATAAAAATATCAAATTAATATTTAAATTTATATTTATAGAAAAAAATTCAGATTTGAAATGTTCCAATCAGCTTTTACTACAATATGATGCCACTTTAATTATTCTAAAAAAGAAAAATGCTTAATATTAAAAGTAGAAATGAGCTTCTTAAAAATTGTAATAATTTTTAAGAAGTTCATTTCTACCTTTATATTAAATGATAATAACGAATAAAATTTTTATCAAATGTAACCCCACTGAAGTTATCTTTGTTATTTTCTCCGCATTCCTTGATCTTTAATCACCAAAACTCGGTAGTATTAATCAGGGTCGGATCTAAGTTTTCAAGGCGTAAGGTTTATTAAAGTCCAATGGAGCACCATTTTTTCCTTAAGATTTAAAATCTTTAAATTAAAGTTTAAAATTCGTTTTTAATTACATCAAAATCAGAGTTGAAGTATATTGAATTATGAAATGGTATTGAATGTCAAACTTTATATCTTAAATATATATAAAAAAAATTTGAAATAATGAAATATTTACATTGATTAATTACCGACCAGTTACGTTCTGAACTTTTTCCGCTTCTACTTTTAGTTTTAATTGACCTAATCACCAATTTCCGTTGGTTTTATATTTCTGATAAAGACTCCTTCACACGGAAGTATTGACTCAAAATTTAGAATTGAAAGTAAATGTAAATATAAATTTTTAATTACAATTTAAAACCATTTTAAATCAGTTGGAGCACGATTAGGAATGTTCGGAACCTGTCACTCGCGGCTTCTTGTGGCAATACACGGCCTTTGTTTTGTATTATTTTTGTAAAATAATTTCGCTAAATAATACAATTTTAATTTACTTAAACTTTATAAACGACTTTATAAAAGAGAAACTGACATTTCTGGAGTAGGGACACCTTGAAACATTGAGAAATGCAAACGAGATGATATTACTTCGATAAGTAAAAGAACACAATAACCTATAAAGTAAAATTTTTTCTTTATCGCTTCTTTATTCCCAAACAATGAAAACATGGCACCCCTCTGATGCTATGCTTAATTACTTACCAGAGCAAATTTTTACTGTACTCTACTAAAGTTTATTAAATGTATACAAAATAAAAATTTATTAAATAAACAACCGAAAAAAAACAAAAAGAAATGTATTATAAAATAATGACTTTTCTTACGTCTACTTTCTTGTTTTATCTTTTCTTCAGAATCATCCTTTTTTTCCTCCTGTTCTCCTGTCAATACAAACAATTTTACATAATGTGTCAGAAATTTGTTATTTCTTTCATATCAAGATTTTAAAAAATTAATCGATGAATATAAAATTACAACAAAACGTATTGAAATACCTCAAAGTGTGCTCATGTAAATTGGAACTCTTAATTTAATTAAAAAATTGCACAAAAATCTTAATTGAAAAGGTTAGTTAATTAGTACATTTTATTATCTTTCCTTGTTAATTTACGCTAAATCAACAATATGAAAGCGGTTAATTAATCGTATATCTAATATACGATAATATATATATGTATATATTGTACAGTACCTTCTGTTTCTGTTACGTTTCTTTCACAAATGGCTTTCAAAGTAAGACAATACTCGCACAGTTCAGATTTCTACAAGCATAAAAATATTAAAGAAAAATGTAAGTAAATAAAAAATAACTACACTTCCCGGATGTTTTAATTTTTTATTTCACTTTATTTTGAAGTGATATTTAATTGTAAAATACACTTTACTATAGACTTACTTTTATACTGCATTTTCCGTTCAGCATTACTGCATCTTCGTCTTTCTCTCCGCATTCAGTTTTAGAAGAAACGTCTCTTATTTTAAGTTGATGACGAGAAATGTCAGAATTGATGTTCGCATCCCCTTCTTTAGTTTTGATATAACGCTCTTCTATATCGGGTGAAGCCATTCGAATATTATTATTTTGAGGTGAATAAATGATGACGAACACGAGGACAAACAAGAAGAGCAGCAGATTCAGCAGGTAGAGTAGTTTAATTTGAATTTTATAGTCTTTTTCTTTATTATTCTCCATAGTGCTAAGGAACAAGTATCATTATTTAACACAAAAGCTTTATTATTAAATATACGTCTGAAAAAATTAAACATACACATAAAAGTATAACAATAAAATTACATGTAAATTGCCTGAGGTAAGAAATAAAGCCATTTAAATATCTACAAGGAACAGTGTGTAGTTATTGCTCATTCTTTACAACTGAAAGGTTTACGTATGCAAAAAAGTTACCCCACTCATCGTTAGTGTTGGAGGGATGTATGACAAAATCCTCGAATGCTATCACACATTTTCATCTGTATTTAAAATAAAAGTACCGAAGTTTTTGAAAGCTTTAATAAAAGTATGGCTGATTATACTAATGAGTTTTGAGTTTAAACTTTTAATATCAATTTATAAATTAATGAGAAACATCAAAAATTTAGAAATTAATTAATTAAATGTAATATTTATTTAGAAAGTCATACCGTGACGTTCTGCTAAAACCTATAATTGTTCTTGGCTGTATCAATTGCTCATTTCCGGACTGTGAGATATGTTTACCGAAAATACCTGGATAGGGAACTCACCTCTCCATATAACTATACAACAGAATATTATTTTTAATATTTTTTCTAATCAACGTGATATTGGTAAGTTTCATATTACACAGACACACAGAGCAACCAGTGGTTTTGTATTGTGGTTTTCATTAACGATGATATTACTTTGATACTGAAATTCCGATTCTTTCGACCACTGGCAACACGATCCATGAATACAATAAGCAGATTCTATTAAATTTAGCTTTACGATTTGTAAGATCCTAGCGTTAATGTGTCCTTATAATTTATTTAATGGTCTACAGGACAAAATAGCTTTGAAAATAAAGTATATTGTTCTATCGTCGAGACGTTTCGGCAAGTGTATGAATGGAATTTTAGCTTTAGTTGTTCGGACGAGGGTCGCGAATTAGGCGTAACCGATTTGCCGATTTATTTTTTTTTATCAATTTGAATTTTTTAGTTTGTTTGTATTAAAAAATGTTAAAAGCTGCGAGCCACCTTGCAATAGTCAGAAGCCCCACAGATTGGAAAACGCCGATGTAAATTACTATGAAATTACAGAACGTAATTCGACTAATTAAAAATAACGTTAACGTCTAATTATATTATTGAGGAAGAAAAGTCGGAAACAAATGACGGTGTTACGCTGTTACTGTCGCTAAAGCTAAGGAAATAAACAGAAGAAATTTCTCTAATATATTTTCTTGGATAAAACAAATAAATTTAAATAATAACGGTTTGAATTTTGCAGTAAACTCAACACAAAGTTAACAAACGTTGGGCTTACCCATCCATTTACAATGATATTTTTTTCATACGTTTAAAATTTAAAAAATGTAATTATTTATCATTAAAAAAACATGCTGAAAGGACTCGAAAGATATTTATTTCGATAGAATTTATAAAATTGTTTTATAGAAAACAAATACGTACCAACTTGTTTTCGTGTTGAACTTCAAGTCTTTCCGCTTCTACTTTCAATTTTAATTGACCTAATCACCAATTTCCGTTGGTTTTATATTTCTGATAAAGTCTCCATCACACGGAAGTATTGACTAAAAATTTAAAATTAAAAGTAAATGTAAATATAAATTATTAATTACAATTTAAAACCATTTTAAATCAGATTGAGCACGATTAGGAATGTTTGGAACCTGTCACTCGTGGCTTCTTCTGGCAATACACAGGCCTTTTTTCGTATTATTTTTGTAAAATGATTTCGCTAAATAATACAATTTTAATTTACTTAAACTTTATAAACGACTTTATAAAGGAGAAAATGACATACATGTCATTTTCTCCTTTATAACATTTTACAGGGAGGTTTCTGTATTAGAGAGATTGATTATGTTAAATTTTCGTGGTTAACGAATCATGGGTAAAATGTTAGAGGGGATGGTGTTTTATATCTCAAGTAGGGTCGGATGTAATGACGATTTTACTCGTTATTAGCATTTACAATTTTTTTTTATAAATTTTATCCCTGCTTTCGAAATTAAGGGTTTTGCCATTTTATAACAGTTAAAAATATAAAAATGTTCTTAAAATAAAATTTCATAAGAGATGGCGTTAAGCGAGATTTTAGATGTTATTTGGAAAGTTAAGCAACTCGTTCTGTGNAAGAAGCATCGATGAATATTATTAAAATTCAGTGTGTAAATGGACGGCAATTACAAGTATCTCGATCAAGAATTTCTAACAGCAGCATCATTTTATTGAGCATGATAAAATCTTATTCAAATGTCGGCGATATCACCTTTTATTTACCGTATACCTTTGAAAGTTTGCAAGCAATTTCAGAGTAAGTTACATTTTTCATAATAATTACACGAAGAAATTGTAAAATTTTTACAACATTAAAGACTGAATACAAAGAAAAATGTCATGTCTTCACACTTCCTACACAAGCACAAAAACAAAATTAATATAAAAAAAGTCCAAGATTCCATTGAAACTCTTCCCTGTTTACGAATATGTAAACTGATTAAGAGTCTCTCTGGCACTTTGCGTTAATTGTGTTCGCTTGACTGTAAAAGATATGCGATAACATCAAATGTTTATTTGTATTTAGTCTTTTCTTTTTTACAATTTTATAAAAACTTTTAAAGATCCACGACGAAATAAATTTTAAACTTTTAATATTGCTACAGTTTGTTCTAAATACTGTAATTATATCGTGACAATAGTATTTCCATTACATTTAGACTGTTGGAGAGTAAAGTATCAATGTTCCCATCTTTAAAAACAGCAATGGATATTTTAAGAAGTAACAAGACGTTACGTATTATTGGTGTAAATAAATTTTTTCATATTCGTATTACTGATATGCTACGAACAGAAAATGTCTGTTTCGTACACGACTTTGCTTCCGAAATCGACGAATTCAGACTGTTATATACTTGTTGGAGAATGTTTGATGCGAAGTACGATCAAATATTTTATACAGACGTGTACTTGAATTGCAAAGAAGCAACAATAGACACACTCGTATCTCGCCCAATTAATAAACCTTTAGACGAGAAGAGTATCTTCGATATCACCTACAAATGGCCCATGAACAAACTTAGTGAGAAGAAATCTCTAAGATAACTCATGGAACCTTTCTTATCAATAATCAGATTTTTGACAATGGAAAATGAAATTTTTGAGTCAGATGATTTTTTACTCGTCTTGACTGAAAAAGAACTGGAAGCAATAAAGCTGTTTTTCGTAACAGACAATTTGTCGTGTGTCCCTGACAATATTTCCAAGTCCATAAAAACCAGGACTTCTTATCAATATCCGTTATTTTTCACTTACTGCAATCGATACTCGTCCGTCATTAAAATACAAATATTCCTGACTAAAAATATACAATTTATATCAGAAATATTTGTTCACAAAAGCTGTTTTATGACAAGCATTTGTGTATCAATAACTTATAAAGAAGCAAGTTAATATTTTTCGATTAATGGCAAACATTTAAAAGAAAGAAAATTTCTTACACGCCAAATGAACGGATGTATCGAGTTAAGAGTTGGACTTTATATTGAAAAGTTTACAACGTTTCAACTTATCATTAGATTTCCCCCCCCAAAAAATAATAATAATAATTCCAAAAAACAAAATAGAAATCAAACCATCTGCAGATCGTTTTACTCCAATTCATGACGTCATTGCAATTCCTCCCTCGGAAGAAAATATATATTTAAAACCTGATTTTTGTCCAATATATTGTGACGTTAGATTGTTCTTTTGAGAATTAGATTACTTTTTGAAAGATATGAAGAAAATCATTAGGAATACTTTGTCGAAAATTTTTACACATTTACTGTTTGATTTAACTGTGTATGCAAATAAAATATACATATTGATTTAACGTTTAAGAATTGTATTTTATAGAAACCATTATATATTATACGAATTTGAAAATTTGTAGTACAGATAAAATTATCGCGTAAATTTCAGAAACCTAACAAGAAAGGTATCTTTCTAATACTTAAATGTGAATTGTCGTGTATTTAATTAGTGTTGCATTTTATTTAGTACTTAGTAATGGTTTTACGTTGGTTAAAAATTTCATTAAACGAAATTATTTAAACTTAGTTTTTCCCTTTATTTAGTTTAGTCATTATTGCTGATTAATTTACTTATTATTGTTCGGTGAATGAAATACTCAACTGACAACCAAAATCACGATTTAGTGCAGGTCGTTATCTCTGTTTTGTATTTTATTTTTATAAAGAAGAGGTATTGTTCTCTTTACGTCAATCTTCCATTGGCAATGGCCTATTCTTTTCAGAGATAATAATGTTTTCTTCTTGGTTTAATTTTATACATGTAGACATTATACATATTAGAAAATGATTTTTGTGAATTGTGCAATAAATTAACAAATTTACATGAATTACTTATCATTACTAAGTTATTACTAATATAAAACATATTTTCATTTAAAGAAGTAAACTAAAACAGATGAGTGTAAGTATTTATCTTTATTAAGTAAAAAAAAAAAAAAATGTTATTGTTGTTTATTTATTTTTGTCGTTTATATTCTAAAACATATTTCTTAGATTGAGCTGAAGATAATAATAAGTATAAAAAGATAAAGCGTAACTAGAATTCAATTCGCTCCTTATAGGGAATTTTAGTTTTAATGCAATTTTTGAGCCTACCAATAGATAAAACCAAATGAATGAATTATACTATTATAAACAAATAATAAATTATTATACAATACACATAAATTGTTTACCCAAAACAATGTAGTGCAAATTAACGATCACTTGGCTTTTTTTCCTTTATTCTACTTGAACTATAGTATCAACTAGAATAAAGGTGAAAGAAAGCCAAGTGATTGTTAAGTTAAACACGACACGATTTCAAATTGATAATACATACAAAGTTAAAATTGATCAAACGCCGACCTTTTATTTGAAGATTCGGCGCTTTTTACATTAAAACAGTCATAAAAATTTCCCACAATAACTATCGTGTCTTTTACCTTAATATATGTCAGTATCCAGCCCTTTATTATAAATTCATTTGCATAAAATCTACAAACAAAAGGTCGGCGTTAGATCAATTTTAACTTGGCGCGTATTTTTTAATAATCTATTGTTGGTCATTTAATAAAATTTTTATCTTTAAGCCGAAAGACTGTTACTTCTGTGGTATGGTTAAAAACGATTAAAAAAGACTCGAAAAATTAATAATTTTTGTAAAGTCTTAAACTTTAAATGAAGAGAATCCTGTATACATCGTCATTATGCAAATAATGTTTGATTCTATGAAATAAACTACAAGTCAACCTCTCTGTAATTCCCCATTAATCCTGCTCACGAGGGAAAAATACGAAGTTCCAATTGGAAGAAATCCTCGAAAAAGAGATTCTTTCGTATTATTTGGGAGTGCGCCAGAACTTCTAAAAGAAGAAGGTCGTATTCCGTGCCGTCTCTCCATAGCTAACGCCCAAAGTCTAGATAAGATCCGTCTTATGTTCCTAAATCAAGAAACCGTCCGATGAAGTGCCGTCTTCGAATTTCCATGTAAAAGAAGTAAAGACCTGATGAAAACCTAAATTTTAACGAACCTTCTTTTCGACCCACTTACAGGAGAAAACAACGAAAACATAAAGTATAAAAGTAACCTTGCTAGGTATTATCATTTACAAGAATTATAATCTCTCCGCGTGGTAAAAAATCTAACATGTTGAAATCTCGATTTGTATTTTTCAATTGTTTATATTAATTATCTTTATTTGTTACTTAAACAAAGGACTTATTCATGACTGAATTCCTAAAAAGGCCCTCTGAAGTAAAGTGAGCCAATCTAACGATTATTTATCAGAAGCGACATAGAACAATTCTATGCCCTTGGCTTCTCATATCACGTTTAAAGATTATTATTAGAAAGATTTTCAAATTAAATGATTAACTTTGAAAGATACAACGTGCTAAGTTATTCTCATATTATAAGAATGCTAAAGTTCAAATTAGTTTCAAAACACTAAATTTTTAAAATAAATTTATTTTGGCTGTTGTTCACCATTCCTCTTTTCTCCTTATCTGATGTTATAAGTGTAAAACTACTTAATATTGGTACTAGCCTAACGGTGTTTTCTATACTATCCTGACGTTTATTTATTTATTTATCTTTATCTTTATTTATTCCCGATATCACCAGAGGATAATCGGGTTAAATACAGAGATATATCAAAGCACAGATAAATACATACTTGTAATACATTCTTGTAATTGTTATACAACAATTATTGTTATCGAAGTTACAGAGCCCCAACACGCAATTTCAAATATAATCAGGTGCGAATCCTCTGGGCTTGCTTAGCGTGCGCCGCATGTTTAAGAGAAAGTTTTGAATACAATATACTTTTTATATAAGAACAAATATGCCAAAAATAATTTATTCTAACACGTAAACTCTTTCATCATTTGTATTTGCTTNCCTGACGTTTATTTATTTATTTATCTTTATCTTTATTTATTCCCGATATCACCAGAGGATAATCGGGTTAAATACAGAGATATATCAAAGCACAGGTAAATACATACTTGTAATACATTCTTGTAATTGTTATACAACAATTATTGTTATCGAAATTACAGAGCCCCAACACGCAATTTCAAATATAATCAGGTGCGAATCCTCTGGGTTTGCTTAGCGTGCGCCGCATGTTTAAGAGAAAGTTTTGAATACAATATACTTTTTATATGAGAACAAATATGCCAAAAATAATTTATTCTAACACGTAAACTCTTTCATCATTTGTATTTGCTTTTGCATTGACAGCTATTGGATAGCCACTTTAAGTCAGTGCCATGCTTGAGGGTGGTTTGACCGCGGCAAACAAGTGCACGCGCTTGACGTCATTCGAAGCATTTAACACTTCCGGATTGTATCGAAAGCATACATAAGGACTAATTGAACTTAAGCCCCGGGCCCCGAGTGGCAAAGGCTAACAAACACTAAATTATTATCAAAAATTTTTAATACGTTTTCATTATAATATATTTCATATGTAAAAATAATGGGCCTTATGATAGTCCATACTTTATATTCACATCAAATATCGTTTCTGCCAATTGTTTAGTGATGAAAATAGGCCTATTATTCTTATTATAACTTTCAGCAGGCTCAACAATTTTCGTCAGGGTTCGCACTTATATATAATATTTATCTATTTACACTTTCGCACATAGACATTTCAGTTTTTATATGGGAACAGTTTGATTTATATGAACTTAACGTACAGTACATTAAAAAAGTTAAGTACATTTTCGAACAATAAAATGTCACCTTGAAACTAAAATCTTTAAAGCAAATTTCTTCAATTTTTCCCCACAAAATACTAACTTATTACTATTA